GAGTTCCCGTGTCATTACAGGCCCACCCAAGCTGACTTTCCAAAAGAATGGCTGCTCTTGGCTCCTGTATCATATCAAACAAGCAACTGCTGGCTTCAGTGAGCCCTAGTGTAGCCAAATTAGAGTCACAGCTTGGCGTCACCTGGGAATCTTTAAGCCCAGCACAAGTAGCAGCCATCTCAGATTGCTTCACAGCTCAGGCAGGGTGCCCTGGGAAAAACTCATGTCGGGGCTGACCTTAGCCTACACCGCCTGGGAAACTCCAGGGCCAGCACGCTCAGTGGATAGCTACAGACCACTTTGTAGCACCATCACCCTGCCCCTGCACAGTTGATCCTCCATGGAAGGTGGAGGTTGGTGGTCAGTGGTCACAGCCAGTCCTTGCAAATGACTGGCCTGTGTTCAATGGACATGAACAATGGACATTGTTCAGTGAACATGAACAATGGTGGAAGAATTGCCTGAGGGAGTAGGGGTGCTTGGTGGACAAGGGCAAAAGGAGAAAATCAGCCCTGGCTGGTATAGCTCAGTGTATTAAGTGCAGACCTGCAAACCAAAGGGTTGCTGGTTTGATTCCCAGCTGGGGCACATGCCTGGGTTGCAGGCTATGTCCTCAGTTGGGGGCAATGAGGGGCAACTACGCCTTGAGATTTCTCTCCCTCTTTCTTCTTCCCCTCCCCTCTCTCTAAAAAATAAAAAAAAATAAAATATTTTTAAAAAATGAGAAAATCAGGACAACCGTAATAGCATAATCGATAAAATATAATTTTTTTTTAGAAAGAGCCCTGGCTAGTATGGCTGAGTGGATTGAGTGCCTGCCTGTGAACCAGAAGGTCATGGGTTCAATTCCCATCAGGGCACAAGCCTGGGTTGTGGGCCAGGTCCCCAGTTGCAGGTGTGTGAGAGACAACTGATTGATGTCTCTCTCTCTCTTTCTCCGTCCCTTCCCTCTCTCTAAAAATAAATAAATAAAATCTTTTAAAGAAAGAAAAGAGACATAATAGAGGCAAGATGAGTGTAGTGATGGGATTAGTGGGGAACAGTCTCATGTAATCTGAATGTAGCACCAACCAGACCTGATGGGATGAATGTAGAATATGAGGCCAAGAAGAGAATCAAAGACAATTTCCAAGTTTTGGTCTGAGTAATTCATGGTAGTGCTATTTAGTGACATGGGAAAGACTGAGGAAGAAGCAGACTGGGATAAAAAAAATCAGGATTTCAGTTTTAGACAAGTTAAATTTGAAAGGTCTCTTAGCTATCCAAATGGAAATGCTACCCAGATAACTAAAAATAGGAGTCTATAGCTCAGATTATAGGGAAAGGAGGAACGAAAGCAGGGAAGTGAAAAAACCATTAAAAATTTCAGTCAAGATCATGTTAGCTTAGACAGGGTGGTAGCAACAGACATGATGAGAAGCGGTTGGATTCTGGATATATTTTGAAAGGAGAGCCCTGACCAGTTTGCCCTGACCAGGTTGGCTGGGCATCCTCCTGCAAAGCACAGTGTTACTGCTTCAATTCCCGGCCAGGGCACAGGCCTGAGTTGTGGGTTTTTTCCCCGGTCAGGGCATGTAAGAGAGCCAACCAAATGATGTTTCTTTTTCACATGGATGTTTCTCTCCTTCTCTTTTTCCCTCCCTTCCCCTCTCTCTAAAAATAAATAAGTAAAATATCTTAAAAATTTAAAAAAAGACTAAAAGCAGAGAAATGCAGTGGAGTTATTACAAGAACTAAGACAAAAGTTTATAAATGCTGAATTAAGGTGATGACAGTGAGAATAAAAATTTGAAAGATGTCATAAAGGTAGAATCAGCAGAACCGGAATAAGGGGATTAGAGGAGGAGAACTCAAGGATCAAAAATACAGTTTCAGGTTTGATGACAAAGAAAGAGGCACATTTGAAAGGAGAAATAATAAATTCTATTTGAATGATATAGTAAGCCACTGGCCTTCTAGAAATCCAAGTCTAGCATCCTATTCAGACCTTAATCCTAAATATCAGCACGGCATAGTATAAAGTATAACAAGCATTATTTCATGTCATGATAAATGGAGAAGAAAGTCATTGGTGAGAGGTGGGTGCTTATTGATCAGCTAGGCTCTTACTCCCTGAAAGAATGGAATCATCCAGTCTCTAACACACAAAACTGAAATGTTTACCTTTTCAAAATCAAATAATTACAAGTTATGAACTTTCAAGGACACTATCAAATTATGAAAATCACGAATGTTAAGATCACAAATGCTGAAAGTCTATGATGGAAACAGTAAGCACTGAAATGGCAATATACAGCTAAGGGAAAAGGTTAGTCCTAGAGACTCAGATCACTCTACCAGAAGGTTCTAAGGGAAAGGGTTGTCAATGAACATGTATAAAGGACCCATGGGCAAAGCCAAAGGGGGGCAGGATTGAGGGTGGGAGGTATGGGTGGGTTGGGCAGGGGAAAGTGGGGGTCAGAAAATGGAGACGACTGTACTTGAACATTAATTTTAAAAATGACGATAAAAAAAGAAGGTTCTATGACACAATGCCATGAGTAAAGAGTGTCAGAGACCCTTGTTCCACATCCTAAGCACTTGCCACAAATAGGGAAGCCCCCTAAAAAATAGAGTACAATTAAGGAAAAAGCTAAGGGCAAAGGACATATCCACCAGGAACATTTAGGAAGCAGGAAATCAAACAAAGACACACAGGAAGCAGTCACACAGAATTGGAATGGACATTGTGACAAAAGAAAATATCAAGTAGGAACACACGGTCAATAATGACAAATAGTTCACAGAGGTCAGGGAGGATGAGGACTAGGAGAAGACTATCAGATTTAATAATTTTAAAGTCCCTGGGATTGCTGTGTATCTCTCTGTGTAACTCTTTCACAATGAAAACTTCACAAGTAGCCATGCATTGTTTTTTAGTTTAAAAAGACATTTTAGTATCCATCATGGTACATTCGCACTATGGAAAACTATACAGTAATGAAAAAGAACCAACTATTTCCATAAGCAACAACATAGATGGGTCTCACAAACACGATTTGAATAAAAGAATCTAGTCACAAAAGAGTACAAACTGTATGATTTCATTTATATGAAGCTCAAGAGGAGGCAAAACTAATCCATGGTGATGGAGGTTGGGAAAGTGGTTACCTTTTGAGGAGGGTTCTATGGTACTGAAAATGTTCTACATTTTGATTTAAGTAGTGGTCACATGGGTATATTCATTTTACAAAAATTCACTGGCTGAATGAACATTAGATTTGTATTGAAGTCACACTTCAATAAAAAAGTAAATAAACAAACATACAAAATTACTGGTGACCTTGAAAACATCAGTTTTAGGAGAGTTTAAGTGTAGAAGCCAAACCATAATATGAGAAATGTATACAAGGTGAGGAAGCTGACTCATTTTTCAAGAAGGTTGCTGGTGAAGCAAAGAGATAACAAAGTAACGTAGGTGGGTTACACAATTCAGGGAAGTTGTGTTGTTTTGTTTTTATTTAAGGTTTAAGACAAAAAGAAAATAACACACATAACAAGGGCAAATGAGATGGGATGAAATCAAGAACATAAGTAGAGGGATTAGCCTCAGAGAGGGTGATAAATGTACTGCTTTCCATGAGACTGAAGCAAAGGATGAGTGAACACAGAAATCCTAATATGAAGAAGAGGAGAAAATCAAGTAATCTTGAACGCTTTAGTGAAGCATGTGATAAAGTCAACCGGACCAGGTAAATTGAGTAAGGAAAGAATCTTGGCTTTAAATACTTTTTTAAAGTTTTGAATAGGTACTGCAGGAAATATAAAAGGCAAGGATGAGGGGAAAATTACAGCAACAGGACAATGCTCAGTGGCGTGAAAGCAAGGGCAGAGAGAGCGGATGGTGCAGTCTCTTCAGGGCTGGGTGGGGAATAAGAGGTGAAAGGACAAAAGGAGAAAACAATTCCAAGTGCTAGCGTGTGCATCACTGAAACGGTTGTAAGGAATGATGTGTAAGAAAAAAACTTATTTAACGGTTGGGAAAGGGTCAGGAATCTAACAGAAATGTTGAAAGATTCAGGGATGAAGTGAGTAGAGTCTGGAGTGCAAAAGGAGAGCTGTCAGTAGAGTCCATTACAGAACATTTTCCTGCAGTTCCCACGAGATTAAAGACCACATATTCTCCTTTCACTGAACTTCCTACCACTACTAGTGACAACTTCTCCTCCCCATAAAACTAACCTTTAACCCCTACTTCTAACTACACCTACACCTGTTAATAAATTATATAACACACCCTGTCCATTCAGAAACTCCATGAATATTTTTTCACTGCTTTCCGTCTTCTCCCGTCAACATGTTTTCAGTGGAAAACTCTTAAAAGGCAGAGCCTGTATCTATGAATTCCCCGTTCACAGCATTGGGCTTGGGATTCCGCACATGCAGGTGTTTTTAAAAAGTGTTTTCTCGTGAAATAGATCGTTACTGAGAAGAACTTCAAAAAAGATTCTGAACACACACACACTCCCATCAGACTACAGTAATGGCCAAATCACACAGTGCTTAGGAATAACATACGTTTTTATAACTGTCAAAACAATCTCAAGGAACTAGGATAACATTTACCATATAATACTGACCTTCCCTGACTCACAGTATGTACCCCGCCAGGTAACTCCTCAATGCCCGTTTTCGTAAACCTATTCTTTGCGGTGCATTTACTCCCAGTTCACATTCGGCGTCCCTTCTTCCCGTCCAGAACTCCGGACTTCGAGCACACACAGGACGCTTTTTCACCCCTGACGCCCCCATTTCCCATTGAACCCCAACCCACCAGTGCCAGTTCTCCGCTCCCACTTTGCTGCCTCTGCAGAGCCCCCCGCCCATTCCTCCTGCGGAACCACTCAGTCCCCACCCCTCAAATGCCCTAACCCGTCTTCCCGCCCGAGATCCCCCTCCCCCACCGCTTCCATTCAGGCGGCCCCTCCATCCCTCCCCTCCCGGACCCCGGCCCGCCCTACCTGCTCCTTGACCTCGGGCCCCGCGGGCCCGGTCCGCTCCTCCAGTCGCTGCCTCCCGGACGGCGCTCGCCGGCGCTGGGGCAGGGGCTGGGGCAGCTCCGCCGCCCGCTGAGCCCCATCCTCCCCGCGGGCGGCCGGCGGCAGCGGCGGCGGCGGCTGGGGTCGGTCGCGGCAGCGACTCCGCTTCATGTCTGCTGCTGGGCCCCGCGGGCGTCAGCGCCGCGACTCCCCCGGCCCCGCGCTGCTCCGGGCCGCAGCGCCGCCGCGCCAACCACCGCCCGCAGCCACCATGGCCCGGCGGGCGCCCGCGGCCACCGACCCCAGCCCGCAGCTCCTCCGCGCTTCCTGGGGCCTCGAGCGCCGCGGCCTCTTCGGCGCGTCTCACGGAGGAGAAAGCATCGCCGCCGCCCCTCGTTTTCTTCCACCCGGCACGCGCTCGGCCGGCCACCCGCCGCCGACGGCTCCACTGCCAGCCGCCCGCCCGCCCGCCAGCCTCCCGCCGGGCCCCACCCCCCTGCCCTCCCCCGGCGCGCGCGCCCGGGGAGCCCGCCCGCGCCGCCAGCCGCGCGCGGTGCCCCGCGCACGCGTCAGCGAACGGTCGCGAGAGACGCGCCCGTGGCCCCCAAGTGTAGCGGGGAGAGCGGAAGGGGGCGGGGCTCCGGGCGCGCGGCCGCGGCGGCGGGCGCTCATTGATGCTTCCATTCGCCCATTCATGAAAATGTGCGCTTGGCCCAGGGGAGTGCGGGTAGGTACCCGAAATGAGTTCCAACTGATCAGTGTCTTCGGGGAGCTGGGGGGAGAGGGGCCACGAGCAGGAAGGAGGCAAAATATACGACAAGTTGATAAAATACTAACGTGTGCCTTTTCACTGAGCGCTTGGCACTTTCACCTAGTCTTCACAGCACACTGGGGAGGCGGGTCTGCTTTCTCACGTTACAGATAAGAAGACCGAGGTGAAATGACGTGCACTCTGGCAAATCAGTGAACAAATTCGACGAGACACAAATTCTGGCTTTTCTATCCCTTTCCACTGTTTCTTGCTGCTTACAGAAAGTAAGCCAGGATGTGTAAAATCCTGTAAAAGAGGAAGAAGTGATGGATTCCTTCTGGGGGAAGAGGAGGACAAAAAGATTTCCGGAACGATTCCCATAATTCCCCAGTGACAATGAAGTCATCGTGTTATAACCCAGTCCAGCCTGCCCACAGCCAGTCCAGCTGTGGCCTGAGCAGCCTTCCCGTGACTCATCTCATCAGCAACGTGGCTGTAGATCAGCACTGTCTGGCATCCTCCTCCTGACTTCAGCTAGTCTGCCACCACGTTGTGTTTTTCCCTAGTTCTTACTCTGAATGCTACACCCATTTTTTCTGGGTCTCCTCCCTAAACCATTCCTGAAAAATAATAAGAGGTAATATCATAGAGTGCCTACTGGACCTATAGACACTGCATTCAATTCACACAAGTGAACAACAGGTAAGCTACGTTTTTTCCAATTTACAGTTGAGAAACTGAGGCTCAAGTTACATAACATGCTAAATATGATATAGCTAATAAATGGAAGGCCAGGATTCAAACCAGTATCTGTCAGATACCAGAGCCTACACATACAACCAATGTACTGTATAGCCTATTCCCAGTCTTCTGTATCACCTGTTTCACTTCCTCACTACCATCCATCCAGTTGCCTCAACCAGAAACCTGGAAGTCATCCTAGACTCCTTCCTTACCTTCTTGCCCCCACATCCACCTAATGAGCAAGTCCTGTTGCTTCTGTAACCTTACTATTTCTTCAGTCTGCCTCCTCTTTCCATCCCACTGACACCACCTCAGCTCAAGTCTTCTCTTTTCTCACCTTCTTGACTAGGTAAGCTTTCTAACTGGTTCATCTACGTCCACTCTCTTTCCCTTCAAATCATCCTCCAAAACGCCTTTACAAAAATCTTCATATAACTTGTTACCCTAAATTTACTATGGTTGACAAGGCCATCCAAAATCTGGTCTCTACCTACCTTACCTTCTATTAATCCCAACTATATAGAATTATATTAGCTGTTTATAGTTCCCTGCATGTACAGGGTCTGCTACATTCTTAGTACAAACAATAGAAACAAACTCTGACCATCCTAAGCCTAAGGGGGAATTTATTGAAAAGCTCTATAGAGAGGCTCACAGAACTGACTAGCGATTAGAGAAGCAGGCATATGAAACGCAGGAAACAAGGAGCCTCTACAGACTACAAATCAAGGATAATTTCAGGACATTGCTGTCACCACCATTCTCACACCACCACCAGACAATATGCTATGTTGCTGTCACCCACCTCTGCAAAGGGATTCTAACTTCTTTGTAATTGAATCACCACTCTAAATTCACAGTCTCCAGCAAGAGAATCCACTGATTCAGCCTTGATAACTTAGGGATCAGAACTCCATTCTAACTTTTCATCTTCCATGATAGAGACTGGGAAAGTCAGTGTGGCACACAAACTCTAAGGGAGCCCTCATGATCTACTCCCTCCCCAGTATTTATGCCTTTGTGTGATTCCCCTCTTCTTGAGTGTAGGTAGGATTTGTGACTTGCTTCTAATTAATAAACTATATAGTAAAGGTAATGTCATATCACTCTATGATTGCATTACATTATATAAGATTCTGTCTTGCTAACAGACTCACTCTCATTCTCACTCTCCTTATGGCCTTGAATAAGGTACTATGTTCTGAACTGCCCTTGGAGAGGGCTATGTGGCAGGACATTGCAGGCAGCCTCTAGGAGCTAGAGACAGCCTCTCATACAAGAGCCAGCAAAAAACAGTAAAAAGAAACCCAAAGTGTTAAGTCCTACAACCATAAGGAAATTAATTCTGCCAACAACCTGAATGAACTTGGAAATAGATCCTTCTCCAGGTAAGAACATAGCTCAGCCATACCTGGACTCCTGATCTACGGAAACTGAGATAAGTGTGTGTTATATTAAGCTGATAAGTTTGTGATACTTTATTACACAGTAATTGAAAATAAATACAGCCAGATAGTCACTTCCTCAGCCTCTCATCTGCCAGAGATGGCCACATGACACAGTCTGGCCTGAATCCACTGTCATCCCTTCTTCCTCAGTTTAATAAATAACAAGCCTTTTTTTTTTTTTTTTCAGTTGCTCAGGCCAAAACCTCAGAATGATCTTTGAATCTTCTCTTTCTCATGTCATCTATTCCACTACTAAATCTTATGCAAATTAAGAGGCAATTACAATTATTTGGAAGAAAGGTGATGATTGATAACAAGTATTATGAAAGTGGTAGTAGCGATGGAAGAAAGTAGATGGATTTTAAAGTAACACAGAAAGTAGAAATAGGACCTGTTGTCTGCACCTAGGTGGAGAGAAAGAGAAAGAACTTGAGAATGATTTCCAAGTTTCTGGCTTAGGTAACTGAGACAGGGAATAATGAAGAAGAATTGTGAAGGAGATTGTGATTAATTGTTTTAGATGTGTTTGCTCTTCATTGCCAGTGAGATACTCAAGTGAAGATGTTCAATGAGCTATGGATTAAATTGATTTAGAGCTCAGGTCTGAGAGCTACCAGTATTTAGATTTGTAACTAATATAAAACTGTTCCATAATCTTAGAGTATAAATGTGATCACATCACTTTTCTTTTTTCTAGTTAGTCACTCAGACCCCTCCTGTCACATTATCAGAAAGGCTGGTATCTCTTTAATTACCTAAAAACTCCAAGGTTCTTATATATTTTAAAAGGTAAGTATGGCAATTATCTATTGTTTAATTTTTAAAAAGCCAAAATTTGTGGCTTAAAACAGCAATCTTTTATTTAGTTGACAATTCTGTGGGTCAACTGGATGGTTCTTATGGTCTGAGCCAGTTTAGCTGATCACTGCCAGGCTTACAAACTCAGCTGCGGTCAGCTTAGGACTGGCTGGTGGCTACATAATCTGGAATGGCCTTTCTCACATGTCTGGCAATTGGCCTAGCAATGAGAGCAACAAAGTCATGTATATCTTATCCAGCAGGCTAGCTTACACTTCACATGACAGCAGTGGCAGGGGTCCCAAGAGCAGAAAAATACAGCAAGCCTCAATATCCCAACCAGAGACTAAACATGCAACCTAGGTATGGGCCTTCCTTCCTTCACTGGGGATTGAACCCGCAACCCTTTGATGTATGGGGCAATGTTCCAACCAACTGAGCCACCCAGCCAGAGCAAGAGCACTTTTTATGTCTTTCTTGGTGAAACATTAACAATTGTGTCATTGCCTAAGCAAGTCATAAGTCACAAAGCAAGTCATTGCCAAAGCAAGTCAGTGTGGGAGGGGACTAAAGTTACATGGAAAGAAGAAATAGATTCAGATGGGGAGAATTTGTGGCTATCTCTGCAGCATACTCCAGGAAGTCCAACTTCCATAGCCTAGTCCAGCTAAAATTAGATTAGCTCATTAGCATCATTCCTCCCCGGGACCATGTTATGAAGTGAATGTTTGTATCCCCGCAAATCCATATTGAAGCCCAAACCCCCCAGTGTAACTATATTTGGAACCGGAGCCTCTAAGGAAGTAATTAAGGTTAAATGAGGTCATAAGGGTGGGATCCTGATCTGATAGGATTATTATCCTTATAAGATGAGACACCAGAGAACACTTACTCTCCCCCACCCCAGGCACGCATGCACCATAGAAGGCCATGTGACTGCAGAGTGAGAAAGTGGCTGTCTACAAGCCAGAAACAGAGATCTTAACCAAAACCAAATGGGCAGGACCCTTGATCTTGGACTTTTAGCCTCTAGAACTGCAAGAAAATAAATTGCTGTTATTTAAGCCACACAGTCTATGTTATTTTGCTATGGCAGCCCATGCAGACTAAAACAGACAACATAACAAGGTCCTCCCAATCCAAACAAGGTTTTTTGAGGGAAGAAAACCCCATTATCTCAGGCCACAGGCAGCCAAAGAAGCCCAGGTCAGAGTTCCCACAACTGAAGCTCTTGTCCTGTACCTTTTCAGGTATCATCCTTAGCCCGTCACTCGGCAGGGAAACAAGCAGTCCCAGGGCAAGTTTCCCAAGGATCCCATATCCTAGGGACCTGCAGTTCTTCCTCTTAAACATTCAAAACAGAGAGGGTCCCTTGGCAATGATTACTCGCTAATCCTAATGGAGAATACTCTCAGTGTTTCTAGGGGGTTGGGGAACATGCACCCCTCTTGGAGGAGGCTGCTTTCAGTGATCCCAGCATGCTCAACTCTTGTATGAAAGAGCACCTACTCTTGTAGGTGATTCAAAGGGGCCCACATTTCTAAGAGTCAGCTTCAAGGATTCCTTATTATAATCAAGAGAAAAACAGATACTTGTCTCCTGATATCCATTCTCCCTTTTTTTATTGCTGGGCACATGACCACCTAGAATAAAGACAATTCCCAGCCTTTTTTTGTGGCTAAGTATAGCCATGTGACTAAGCTCTGACCAATGAAATGTGAGCATGAGTGATAAATGCAGCT